GGATGCACAAAGATATTCCCTTATTTAATTTTCTTTTGCCTTTTTCTTATAGAATTGATGTAATTTAAATTTGTGGTGTTAGCTCTGGTTTGAAATTTCAATTTTTTTCAACACTTTGCCACAAAAATGTTAATTTTATTTTTGTTGTTGAATTTCCATTTCTTACATAACTGTATACTACTATAATAGTATAATTAATGATAGTATAGTAATAACTAGTAGGATAAATTATTGAGTGATATTCACTATTTTTTTGAAGAAAAAATGTCGTGGGGTACTTTTTTCATAGCAAATATTTCATTTTACACAGAAGTCTTGTTTTCTGGCAATACATTGAATGCTATATTCCTTTAGGAAAATTTGTCACACACTGTTGACACACCATGATTTTAAGGCCATGTTGCATCTGCATGAATAAACGATAGTCATTCTATTTAAAGAAAAAATCTGAGCTTGGAGGGTCTAAAAGCTTTAGAATCCCAGTAAATATGAAATGATCACAAAGTGTTGGCAATTAAGTCATTTTTACTTTCTCTCAAGGAAGGGTGTATCTCTATAGGAAAATCCACCATTTTTCCCTCTGAGGGTTGTAAAATGGGGTTTGAATTATTGCCAAATTCATACTAAAGGAAATAGCTCATGAGGCTTGAAATAAGTTGTACACTATTATGAGAAGTGATCCACACCTCCCTATTTGGAGCCTGGTGCAAGCATAATGTAAAGTGATCTCATTTGCCAAAGAATTATGATCAATGATTAGCCTAAAAGTCAGTCAGTCAGAGGTGGAGCGCATGAACTCTTTTAAATCCCTAATATGCAGCTTAGTAGGTGACACTTTAAGAAGGCTTCAAGGTCATAGAGCATTAAGACCTCTGGCAGAATACAGGGTTTTTGCACTGTGGTTGTCGTGGAGATAATCCCATCTGAGAATGGTCTAAAAGGACCTGTCCAGAACACAGTCTCATGAGCCAGAGTCTGCCAGTGCTCCGTAGAAGTGTGAATGAAGCTCTTCGTTGGCTCTTCCTTGTTATGGCAGAGTTGAATACAGCCTTTCTTTCAGAGGATCACAGAGAGCCAGGAGGGACCACAGAGACCACCATGTCCATTGCCTTCATTTTTTGAGTGAGGAAACTAAGGCCCTGGGAAGAATGAGTGACTTGCCCCAAATCACACCAATAGCAAGCATCAAAGAAAGGATTTGAACCCAGGTCATTTGACTCCAAAGCCAGTACTCTTTCCACGCTACCATATTGCCTCACTAGCTTACATACTTCACAAGGTCTGTGATTTCACCACTGTGGATCCTTAGGTCCACTGACTTGGATGCCCAGTTTTCCGTGTGTTAGTAGAGAGTTTTGTGAGGTGAACAAAAAAGGGGGGAAAATCACTAACTGGTGGAAATGAGTCTCTCTGAACTTTCTCAGGTCAGTTCTCTGAAAGATCGCGATTGGGCCCATATTCAAAGCTTTTCAGCTAGCTCTGTGATTATCAGTATTCTCTGTGTATTGGCTTTAAGAAACCACTGGTACATCCATGCCAAGACAAAACAGCCAAGTTGGATTTAGTTGATGTTAGTGAACTGTATGGTAATCTGTGGCCCAAGGTCCCCAGCCTCTGGGTTTATTTGTGCAGGGTTTGACCTCACAGGCTTCCCTCCAAATCACTAACATTTAGGTTTGGCATGTCCCTACACAGAAATCTATACACACATATAAATACATAACACATACATGTATGTATATGTTATGGATGTACATACAGATGAGAGACAGAGGGTGAGGGAGAGAATAGTGTTTAGGTCTCCAGAGAGAGAGAGAGAGAGAGAGAGATAAAAGGGTCCCTGGGATCCTGTACAGGCACACAAGCGGACAACTGGATTTACTGGTGTAAAGTGGTCTTTATTCAACCTGACAGAATAAGCAGAATATAGAGAGGACTTCTTATAACCCGTAAATAATCAACACAACTCTATTCTTCTCCTATCAGTCCCATTTTCCACAGAGCACTAAAGTTCCCCAAATTCATGTCAGTCAGTTGTTTGGACCTCTGTGAGGAAAATACTTGAGGCTAAGAGACAGGCCACCCACATTCCCACTGAATGCACATCAGCTGAGTAACCCCCAGTAATTGTGGGGTACAAAATGGAAGTCCCTTGTCCCCTCATACCACAGCATTAGCACTTTACCGTGGCTCCTCCTGGCACCCTGGGGGCCACAGATACGACCCTTGCAATCTTCTTGACAAGAGATACTCAGGAAATGAAAGCCTGGATCCCTGACCTATTGATTTCAAGGTTACTTTAATCAGTCGACTGGTGTTTATTAAGCATCTACTGTTTGCCAGGCACTATGCTTGGCACTGAGGATACAAAGACATAAATGAAATCGCCTGTGCCCTTGAGGAACTTATATTTTGTAAGGAGAGGCAACATGTAAACATATAAATATATAGAAGGTACAGAAATCATTGGGTAATTTTGTGGGGGTGATACCATCAGTTCCATTTAGGAGATGGTGCTTGAGGTCCCTACCCCCCTGCCCAGAAGATTCCCTCTCTTCTAGCCAGAAGGTTGAGTTTCAGGATTCTTTAGCTGGGAGCTTATAGGGAACTTTCAGAAACTTGTGCCATTTTACCATATGGCTCCACTCTACGTGGCTGCCATTTGGCTGAGAGATAAGACCCCTGCCTCTCCTCTGAGGTCAAGTACCAGGAACTCTCTGCTGGGTCATGTGGACAAGAGTGTTATGTATACGTGAGGCAACTGTTAATTTTTTTTTTTTTGAGGAGATGCTTCCCCCATTCCTCCAAGTGTCTCCAGAAGAGAAGCAAAGAGGAAAAATAGAGGCCAGAAGGACCTGTGAGTTTTCTTTAAGGCCATTACAAGGTGGGGCAGAGGTTCAGATGGACAGTCAGTAAGCATTCAATGCCTACCCTGCACCAGGTACCAGGCTGGGAAAACAAAAGCAGTTTATATTCTATCAGAGAGCCCCATGATAGAGAGAACCACCTAATCCATTCTGAGGCCATCCTCAGCCTCAGTAAAACCCGTCCTTGAGCGGGTGCCGGGGGACTGTCCATCCACAGATACCAGGCCAAGGCCCCATTCAAAGGCTCGTGACCCAGCAAGCTCAGCAGGTTCTTCAGGGAAGCCTCATGATCAAAGCCCTGCAACTGTGCTGTTTTTACATATAAAGATTCACTTCCTAATGTGTGCATGTGTGTGCTGGGCTCAACCATATGGAGCTTCTTCTGTCAAGCAGTTATGAGGCCCTATTTCCCCCAGCCCAATGCTAGTTCTTTCACAGGTTGCCATTTTTTTTTTTGCTACATGAGGTCATGTCTGTTTCCATGCCAACCACAGCTCTTGGGAGACAATCTTCAGCAAAAGCACGGAAGTGATAACTCCCCAACAACTCCAGTGCTGCCAGCAGCTGGTACAGCTTTGTAAACACTGCCTCCTAGTGGTGTACAAGTATGCGAGTGATTCCCGAGCATCAGTGTCCTCTGTGTGCCCCGACTGGGAAAATACCAGGTATGTTTTCATCTCCAGAGCCCTGAGATATTTCTTACCAAAGCAGCAGCCATTTGCCGTGTCAAAGTGGGATTTTTTTTTCCAGGAAATGAGCTGGGCAAAAGTCTCCAGGCTGAGTTCATGCAGATCATAAGCTCCCAAGGACTTTTAAGCATAGAATTTAATGCGAATGAACTCAACAGGAATACTTTCTCCCAAACATCAAAAATGGAATCCCTAACAGGGAGGTGGAAATCACGTTTAACAGACTATTTGCTTTTGAAAGTCACATTAGGAAACCTAGTATGTAAGTGGATGGTTAATTTAGCCAAGATTTCCCCAGCCTTCAGAGGTAATGTATGGTCTTTGATTCCCCTGGTGCAAGTTTGTGATGATGTCACAGCCAAAGCTTAAACTTCCAAGAAGCCAGGCTGTATTCTCGGGATTGCTGGGGTTTATTTGTAGTGGTTAAAAAAAGTGGCAGGCCCACCAAACCAGTGTGAATATGGTTCTTCCACGTTGACACCTGAATGTATCAGCTTCCTAAATGTCTTCTAATAAAAGATGTTGGTATCCCTGAAAGCAAGAAGACAATTTTGCTTTTAGCTTGCAAAAATCTGGTAAATTAGCAACCCTTACTTGACTTTATATAAATTGGCTATGGATTCTCCTAAGATTTAAAGGGTGTTGTGTGATATTTTTATATATGCAGAGGAGGCACCATCGAGGGAGGCAGGAAGTAGCTGTAAACTTTGAAGAAGTTTAATGTGAGGTACTAGGAAACAAATAGATTAACACTAAGGGGAGTGAGGCTCCTCTCCTCCAGAGAAGATCCATAACAATTTTGATATGAGGTACCAAGAAACAAGTAGATCAACACTAAGGGAAGTAAGGTTCCTCTCCTCCAGAAATCGAGTTTTTTATTCAAAACCCTCTTGGCAGATATGTCTTGTAAAAGGAAACTAAGACAGGCCTGGCATAGAGAATGCAACAGCAAAATTGGTCAAAAACCCTTTGCATCAAAAACTGTGGAGTGCTTTATTTGTGAGTTTTGTTCCTTTCTGATGAATTTGTGGATGAACTAAACTTATCAGGTCTTGCCATGTGACTGTTGCAGGGCCTCTAACATAGTTTAACTCCTACTGGAAACAGACATTGATTGATCTCAGCAATGGTAGAGGTAAATTTAGCCACCAAACCATATTGACTATGTAAACATCAAAGTAATATTCTGGATATTTTCATTGATTGACCAACCCAAAAGATGGAAAATAAAGTTTATTATACTTTCATACTAATAAAGAGAAGTGAAAACAGGTCTTCAAGTTAGTGAATGCATAAATGGGACCCTTTGATGTCTTTGGGGGACATACACCATAGTTGAGGTAGCCTTGGATTCCATTTCAAGAAGCAGTCTCTGTGACAATCTCTAAAGCCTATAGCACCAACTTCTACCCAAGCGCCATTGAACTTCTTATAGTGTGGGAAGTCAGACGATGCTACCTTTGTATATACCTCTCTATTCCCAAAGAATACTCTGGAGCTTTGGGATGCAGGGATGAAAGCCAGAGGCCTCTATGGTCACCTTAAGATAGCTGAATGATGATGTAGGAGCACTCTTCTGAAGTGGAGAAATTCGCCATGCAACCCTGTCCCACGAACCTGAGTCAGGGACACATGAAATTTAAAGTTAAAACCTGGGTAGCCCCAGCCAAATAAGAGGCTCTAATTAAGGGCACAATGATTTAGGGAAATGGAAGAAGCACCAGCTTGGTAGTCTTCAACTCTGTTAAGGTGACTGAGAAAGTACTGAATCCTTGTTATACATTGTGAAGATCTAGTGAACCTGCTTTTCAAGGGCTTAGCCCATAGCAGGCACTCAGTGATATGCTTATTGATTGATCAATATGATTAATAAATAATGTAGAGAGATATAAGCCCAATAGATGTAGAGGTAGAGTAGGTGAGATTGACTAATTTTTACCCTGCTGAAATGTGAAGCATAGTATTTTACTATGTAGAAAATATCCCTTTATCTAGAATTGTTTTTTGCCTGCTTTTATCTGTGAGTATCTCCTCTCTACCACCCCCACTCCCCCCGAATTTACCTACATAGAGCTGCCAAAATAACTTCTTTAAAATGGCAAAAGCATTCATGAGTTAACTCTAGCTCCTCCCACCGCACCCTCATGTCTAATAAACCTTTGGTTTACAAACTGACCTGCCTTCTCCTGAAAGGACTACTTCATAGCTCATAGTCATTCTTAGCACTTGATTTGTACTTTGTCATAAAAAGGAAAAAAAGAGAAGCCACGATGCCCTCTTTGTACTGTGAGCCTTGTTTTCACTTACCCTAAATAATGAGATTTCCATCATGGATGATATTATTAGAAATTGGTAAATAAAAGCCTTGTGAATATAAAGTATGTGGTTAAATGTTGGCATAGGCAAAAGCCAGTGGCCAGTGTTCTGACGTACTTCACTTGTCAACTCCACACCCAGGAAGTTGAATTGATTTGAAGGATTGAGTTCCTAGGTGGGGAACAGAAGTTGATTTGGTTCTAGGATTATTGGGGATCCAAATTGACCCAGATTCTGGGGTTCCCCCAAACTGGAAATAACTTTAGGCTTATGGAAAACCACCTTGAAGTTCATGCCAGAGGATAACTGAATCAACCCTTGGAGAAGCCAGATGAGGGGATGAGGAAGGATTTTCTGGGGAATAATTTCCCCATTGGCATTTGGCATGCTATTAACAGCAGTAGTTTGAAAATATGGGCATCTTTCATTTGCAGTCTGAATATGTTTTTCCTTTCCTAGGTAAGATAGAGAATCTCTTGATTGTAATAGCTTTTTTTCTTATCTTTGTTTTTTCTTTCTATCAGTCAAGTGAATCTGTCTTGCAAATATGTCAATGAGTTAGTGATTTTTGTACATAAGAAGTAAAGTAGTATGAAAGAAAAGCCACAAACTTTTTTTCATTTTCAGTACTGCATGCACATTCTGCAGACAGTCTATAAATTTGTTTCCCAGAGATACTATTCCTACTGAAAAATCAAATCACATTACTTTAACTTCATTGCAAAGAACATGCTTTAAAAATAATTTTTGGTATTCAGCAAGGGCAGTGGTCCCAGGGACCTCCCAGGCAATATTAAGGAATATTAAAGCAAATAATCCATTGTATTTCCCTGTAACCCTTTAAAACACCTCACAGCACTCTCTTTAAAGAAAAAAAATGCTTTTTCCAGTGTGATTTCAGGTGCTTTTTAAAGCCCACATACATTCTTCTTGTCATTTTAAGATTTGGAAAAAAAAGTTTCCTTTTGGCTGTTACTGCTTTCCTGATGCTTTACTGAGCATCAAAAAGTTTAGATTCATGGGCGGTAGATATTTTCCCAGTCCCAAAGCTAGTCTACTCTTTAAATTTCTGTTAAAAGTATGATGGAACAGTTGGGATTCATTGATTTTAAAGTAGGGATAACTAAGGAGCCCTTGATCCAGCCGACCCAGCCTAGTTCTCTTCCCATCTTGTACCTAAGTCACAAATTGAGTCATTTTCCTTCTTTGGTTTCTTCTGCACAAATGGAAGACCCTTCATCAGGCAGGAGGGATGTATGAACTTTACCCTCTTCATGGGATCTAGAAAACAAAAATGACTTGTACTTTGAAAGAAAGTAATTTAGGTAGAAGGTATTATTTATGATGGCAGTTCTGAATATCATCAGAACACAGTTTTCTTTGGAAGATAAAATAACTTTGCAGTGCTTTTGTTTAAGTATATACCTTTGTACTAGACACCAAAGTATGAGAGAGATGGGAGACTTCCTTAGCCAGTGGATGTCAGATTAGCTATCAGTGACACAATAATGTGCATTAGCCACCTGAATGCCATTTAGAAAATGTATACAATTTTGATGTGCAAAACAATTTTGTTACTCAGTCTTTCAACACACGTTTAAGCTCCAGCGTGCAAGGCAAGCAGCTAGGTGATGCTGTGGATAGAGTGCTGACCCTGGACTCAGGAAACTCATCTTCCAGAGTTCAGGTCTGGCCTCAGACACTTAGTAGCCCTGTGACCCTGGGCAAGTCACCTCACCTTGTTTGCCTCAGTTTCCTCATCTGTAAAATGAGCTGGAAAAGTGAATGGCAAACCACTGCAGTATCTTTGTCAAGAAAACCCCAAATGGGGTTATAAAGAATCAGAAATGACCGAACATGTGCAAGGCACCGTGCTAGGCGTTGGAGATAACAACAGAAATGAATTAGTCTTAGCCCTCAAGGAGCTTACATATGACTTGTCATTCATGAAATATTGCTTTAATTTGGGATGTTTCATGTTCTCTTATTGCTCTATTAACTCAAAGATTTTAGCAATTAATTATAGTTTGTTATTCAGAAATAAATTTAAATAATATTAAATCATGGTAAATTATATAATTGTGCTTATGAGTATAATTAGAAAATGACACTATCTTGTCTGTTTTATGTAAATTACTTGATAGTAAATGATAGTTTACATGCATAAACACTTAAGTATGTACATACATGTATTCATAGCTGTACAGAATATTTTCCTGCCAATTCAAAGGTATAACTGCCAGCAATGTATTCCATAAAGTAGGTAACAGAGCCACTGCCAGTATTTTTGGTAGCCCCCCACATGATAGTGGAAGCCTGTAAAAGTAGGAATGCAGTGATAGAAGTTGGAGTGTTCCTGGGTCAGTAAGATATTCTGTTACCACTCCAGGTTCTTTTCCAAGACAGCTGCTAATTAGAGACTCCCTCTCATTGCTCCTTACCCCGGCTCTTTGAAATCTCTTTCCTCCACAGTTAGGTTGTTGTCTTTTTTTTCACATGATGTGTTCCCATTGTCCTCATAATCATCACTACGCCTGAATGGTTTCTTTTTTTTAAATACTGCCATTAGTTTCCAATGGAGTATCTTGATCGATTCTGTATGTTCATTATCGAGTTGGACAGCTGGATACCACTCCGTTGCTCATAGAGAGAGGGTTTTTTCATCATCCTAATAGTAGACAAGTGTCATGCAGACACTACAAACACCAAGAAGCGACAAGTCACGTTTGGCCCTGAAGGAGAATGAAGCAAAGCATATCATTAGTATTGCTTATACTGATGTGTAGTTGTGAGCAACTCATGAGGTACAAACCTTGGGCCGATTCTGATGCTCATAGCATGGTGTATTAACTTGGTCAGTCCTCAGTTTCTCCATATACAACAAGATAGTACAACAACAAAACATTATTAAATCGTGATCAAGGGTTTTGTCCTCCTTGGAAGTAATTGCTTTTAATGTAGCCTGAATTTCTCTTATACGAAATGTTGCAAACTTATACAGTACTTCATACTTTGTGTTTAGGGCACATACATGAAGCAGTGAAGTAGGTAACTATCATGAGTTTAAGAAAAGTATCTACCTTTTATACGGATTTATAATGAAGTCCACACTGACAGTCATCATGTAAGTCATCGGATAGCATTTGGTCAGGGTGGTTCCGTATGATGGGATTGCTTGGCGGGGGAAGGCTCATCCTTTATTTTGCCCTTGGGTGGGATCCTTTGCATAGGATGTTTTTTTTTTTTAAAGTGTAAATACCATTGTGGGATGGTATCTGCTCTCTTATGAGCCTTCCATAGGTGGTCACTTATGGGGGAGGGAGGTCCATCAGAGAGGATGGAGAAAAAGGCAGACAAGACAAGAGAAGCTAGACCTGCCACACCTTTCTTGATCCAGAATTTCCCCTTCTAAAAGACTGGCCCTAATGAACTAAATAGCCTGTTAGAATCCTAAAGACATTTTATAGGTTGAAAATTCAATCTGTTATTCTTGATTTAGCAATTTTGTTGATATAAAAAAGGATAACATCAAATTTTTTTGCTATTTCAGAAATTTAATAAGTGAATGTAAAAATATTTTAATCCATTCTAAATCAGATTTGGAAGTGGTGTTCTGTTTTCTTCTTGTGTTGTGTGAGGAACATCTGAGTAGATAGCTTTTGTTGTATGGATATCCTGGCCAGTCTGGGGTCATTTCACATGGTATGATCCATAAGAAACATAACAGTTAGGTGGAAATGTATTGCCTTGCTTGTTAAAATCTGATCTTTTAACCATCGTTTTTAGGTATTTACTGCCAGGAACTACACAGTTCATCCTGAAAACACCGTCCTACAGCCTTTTCAACACTTCTGCAGTGAAACATGCCAATGTTTTGTTTACACCCAGATATGCCCATTTGTGAAACCAAAGGAAAGTTTGCCATGGGCTATATATATTGGCAACTCATTTTTTCCTTCAATTGAAACATGCAAAGAAAGTAAATAATAAGTGCTGTTTTATGTATATATAAAATATGTGGGGGAAGATTATATATACACACATGCCATCAAACAACATGTATCTGTCTCTCTCTCTGTATATACATACACACATATGCACACACACACATAGATATATTACTCTAGATGAGAGAAAATTTAACCAAAAAAAAAAAACCCCACCTTACTCTAAAAGCTTCACCCTTCTGGAAATGTAATAAAAATGATGTTAAAAACTGTTTCCACAATTATGTGAATGTCTAGATCTTGCTAGGTTGATAATTAATTCCTTCCTACTAGAAATGTTATTTTTGCTGCAGAACCTATAAAATAGAATTGATCTTGGAGATCCCATTATGGTGTTAAATTATTTTCTAGATGCAGTACCTTTCGACCTGAAATATATTACGTATTGTGTAATACCTTGTTAATTCTCTTAGATTCATTGACTGTTTGAAGAAAGGTAAATAATAAGCCTGATGTTGCTCAGTGTGATGATTCAATATAAAATAGATTTATCATTCCTATTGAAAAGGACTGTAACAAGCCAGATCTGATTTTTCACCTTCCTTTTTTTTTTCTCTTTGCGAAAATCTGAGCTCTCTGTACTAATGTAATTTTCCCGTAAGGGCTTAGTGAAGTAATAATTTGGTCTAAGTGAAGACAATCCAGTGGATTTAAAAACAAAACAAAAAACAAAACACAGTGAAACAAAACAAGTCATTCTAATATATGCTTTTGAACTGGATTCAGCTAATAAAAGTGAAGGTAATGGTCACCATCACATCTTTCTTTGTGTCTTTTGTGACATGTGTTTGTCAGTGTTTTTTGGGATTTTGTGGCAATCAGCATACATTATTTATTAAGCACCTTATATATGCCTTGAGCTGTGCTAGGCTCTGAAGACACAAAGACAAAAATGAAGCAGTTCCTGCTTTCAAGGAACTTCTGTCCAACCAGAGAAGACATATATATATGTGTGTGTGTGTATACATATACATATACATATACATATACATATACATATACATATACATATACATATACATATACATATACATATACGTATACATATACATATACACATACATATGCATATACACATGCATATACATATACACATACATATACATATACATATACATATACATATACATATACATATACATATACATATACATATACATGTACATAGTGTATATACATATATATGTGTATATACATATATGTAGTGTATACATATATATGTGTGTGTGTGTGTGTATATATATATATATGTGTATATATATATATATATATATGTGTGTGTGTGTGTAGATATATTCACAGTATATGCAAAATAGATACAAGATAATTGGGGAGAGGGGTGGACTCATTAGAAACTGAGAGAATGAGGACAGTCTTCAGCTGAGCCTTGAAGGGAGCTAGGAATTCTAAAAGGCAGAAATGAGGAGGAACTCTAGGCATGAGGCACAACCTAGGTAAAAGCATGGAGACAAGAAATGAAGAAGAGTAAGAGGGACTAACTATGAAGGAGAATAATATGTCTGAAGTACAGCTTCATTATCAACAGAAGACATATGAAGTATAGAGAACTGCGTAATTAACTTAAAACTATTAGTGTTAACTTGAATTATATTTAAAAACAGCGTAGGGAGAGGCAGAGCCAAGATGGTGGAGTAGAGAAGCACTCAGCCGAAGCTCTCCCAAATTTCCCTCCAAACAACTCTCAAATCACACCTCCAAATGAATTCTGGAGCCAGCAGAACCAAAAGAAGCTTGGGTGAAACAGTTTTCCAGCCCAGGACAACTTAGGAGGTTGGCAGGAAAGGTCTTTCTCACCAAAGTGGTAGTCAAGCCTGCAGCGCAGTGTAAAATGCACAGTTCAGGAGGCACTGAGATGCCAGTTGCTTGGAAGCTGTTGCATTAGTGGCAGTAGCAGCTTCAGGAGCTTTCAGTCCATGGAAGGCAGGGGGTTGAACAACAGGTCAGAAGGAGATTACAGGGAACCCTTTGCTGGTGCGGGGTTCAGGATCCTGTTCCATTGCTCCTATATAATTCTGGATCTTCAGAGCTAAAAGGAATAATAGCATTTTTGACCTCAGGGGAGCAGGGGACCCTGATTGTGGTTACAGTGTGGAGAGGAGTGCTTATGGTCATTCATGGGACACTAGGGACCCTGATCTCAGTTGTAAGTCAGAGGGGAACACTACCAATTGTGGCTGCAGGAAAACAGGGGACCTGGTCACAGTCCCAGGATCAGGAGGAAGGAACAAGGTACCGCTATGGGTAAAGATGAGAGCAGAGGCCCAGAGAGCAGTGACCACATCTTTCCATAGATTATGCTACTTGGAAGCACTGAAAATCTACAGACCCCTAGAGCTAGCTCTGAAAACAGCAAGAAAGGCCTGAAGCTTAAGACAGTGCCCCCTTCCCTGGAAGCAGAGCCGAACTTCAGTATGAAGTTAAGAAGTTAAAAGTCAAGAAATAGACTGGGAAAATGAGCAAACAGCAACAACAAAAAGAACATGACCATAACGAGTTACTGTGGTGACAGGGAAGATCAAGAGACACACCTAGAAGAAAATGATGTTAAGGTGGCTATCAGCAAAGCCTCAAAGAAAAATGCGAAGTGGATATCTACCCAACAAAAATTCCTGGAAGAGCTCAAAAAGGATTTAGAAAGTCAAATAAGAGAGGTAGAGAAAAAATTGGGAAAAGAAATCAGAATGATGCAAGAAAATTATTAAAAGAGAGTCAACAGCTTGGTAAAAGAGGCTCAAAAAATACTGAAGAATAATAGCTTGCAAAATAGAATTGGCTAAGTGGCAAAAGAAGCACACAAATCCGTTAAAGAGAAGAGTGCCTTTAAAAGCAGAGTTGGCCAAATAGAAAAAGAGGTACAAAAACTCCAATCAGAATTAAAAATCAGAATTGGGCAAGTGGGAGCCAATGACTCTGTGAGACACCAAGAAACAGTAAAACAAAACAAAACAAAAAATAGAAATAAAATAGAAGAGAATGTCAAATATCTCATTGGAAAGACAGTTGGCCTGGAAAATATGTTGAGCAGAGGTAATTTAAGAATTAATTGACTACCTCAAAGCCATGATAAAGAAGAGAGCTTAGACATCATATTTCAAGAAATGATCAAGGAAAACTGCCCTAATATCCCAGAACCAGAGGGTAAAATAGAAATTGAAAGAGATTCCAAAAGGAAAACTCCCAGGAATATTATGGCCAAATCCCAGAGCTCCCAGGTAAAAGAGAAAATACCACAAGCAGCTGAAAAGAAGCAATTCAAATATCGTGGAGCTACAGTCAGGGTCACACAGGATTTGGCAACTTTGACATGAAAGGGTCAGAGAGAGGATCTAGAAGGCAAAGGAGCTAAGATTATACCCAAGAATTACCTGTCCAGCAAAAGTGAGTATAATTCTTCAGGAAAACACGCACACACACACAACCACACACACACACACACACACACACACACACACACACACTGAAATAGAGAACTTTGAAATCATTCCTGACAAAAAGACCAGAGCTGAATAGAAAAATTTAACTTTCAAATATCTCAAGAGAAGCATAGAAAGGTTAACACAAAAAAGAAAGCATAAGGGATTCAATAAGGTTAGAATGTTTACATTCCTGTAGGGGAAGATGATCATTATAACTCCTAAGAACTTTATCATTATGATGGCAGTTAGAAGGAGAATATATACACAGAGGGCACAGGTGTGAG